AAAACGTTGCAAAAATATTGCACCGGCGACAACAAAAGCAAAAAATGTTTTATGACAGAGGTTCTCGACACTTGAAAGAGCTAGTAGTTGGGCAAAAAGTTAATGTTTTAATAGACAACAAATGGGTGTCCGGTACAATTAAAAATATTGTAGGCCCTAGATCGTATCTAATTATCATGGCATCAGGAAACATCTTAAGACGAAATAGAAGGCATATTATTGTAGATTTAAACACACGCGTCAATGAGTCATCTAAGTTTAGCACCCAATACGATGACATTTGTGTAGAAAACAATATGCGCTTCGCAAGCGCCGGCCCGCCACACGGCTCCAGTACCCCGCCACAAGGTCATTGTACGCAATCAGCTGATCGCTTACCTTATACTAACCATTATTATCGCACTCGTTCCGGCAGGGAAGTGAGACCTCCTGATCGCTGGGGCTTCTCTTCACCACAGTCGTAAGTGATTAATTTATTGGTAAAAAATTCTATTCTATTTTTTAATCAATATAATGTGTACCTATTTAAATTTTGATGATTATTTTAATGTGTGTTTAAATTTTAATGTTTATTTTAATGTATGTTTTAATTTTAATGTTTATTTTAATGTGTATTTTAATTTAATTTAAAAAAAAATATGTGCAATGATTTTATAATTAATTTAATTTAATTAATAATTGTTTATTGGATGATTGATAATTGATAATAATAAATAGCAACTGGCTATTGAGATTAAATTGATTTCAAATTAATAATTATTATTGTATTTGCATGTTACTTTTAGTATAATATTTTCCAGTTATACCTTATATTATTATATAAAATCGCAATTAAGATTTGTAAAGTAGTATTGTGATAATTGAATTTGTAAAATTCTGAAATTGTAATAGTAATAATATAAGAAAATAATTAAGAATAAATACATTAAGTAAATATATTCTAAAGATGAAATTAAATTACAAATATCACCAATATATATATATATATATACATATTTCTTTTAAGTTTATGAATTTGGAATTAAACTTATGATAATCATAATGAAAATCTGTGCTTATCGTAACTAAAAATATGTAAATAATTTATTTAATTAATTATTAATTGCTTTTTTTATTTATTTCTTTTTTGTAAACAAGGGTATTGTAGGTATTTTGATTATACATTTGCATGTGGGTATTTGTTAATATTAACGTGGGAACTGAATACCGAATAAAGGTCAGTCTTGGTTCACTCATGCTCTCTTATTGACGTGTCCAATTAACCCAACCCAAACAGGTAATTTTTTTACTTTAATCAATTTTTTATTTTTATTGGTACTTCATCTTATTTTATTACTATATATTCTTTTTGCTATTTCAGAATTATGTATGTGGTACAAATGTTGACATTTGTTCTACGTGTAAAGCGGCTTTAAGCAAAGAAAAAATACCTTTAATGGCGACATACAACGGTTTTTCATACCCAATAATTCCATCCGATCTGCCAACATTAAATCTTGTAGAACAACGATTAATTTCACCGAGAATTCCTTTCATGCAAATACGAAGACTTAGACATGTTCATGGTCAATACGGTATTTATGGTCAAATTATAAATGTTCCAATTAAAGTTAATACAATGGTAAACCATTTGCCTAGAAATATTAACGATGACCTTTGCGTTTATGTACACTTAAAGTAGAAATTAGTATATAAAAGTAGTTATGTTCATGGCCTCATAAATCTAAAGAATATTAAAAAATGCTTGACTTATTTGGTAAAAACTCGGCTTTATATTTACTACAATATCACAATCGACAATACCTTTTTAAATAATAACAATAACGAAGCAGCTCCGGAATTAATGCTTGATAATGTCAACAACAAACAAACCCTTATGTGGAATGAAGATTTACATTTGCATATGGCACCTGGAGAAAAGAGTATTCCTGTTAGCATACTATTCGACGAACACGCCGAAGAGCTTTCATTTCCAACTATCTACGGTGGTCAGTTTAGAACCTATAGAGAAGATATACATGTAACTGAATTTATGCAAGCTACTAGTGAAATCCGGCGTACAGATCGACGTGCTACTGATCCACAACATCTTTTATATTTAGCTGCGAAAATTATGAGACTGCGAGTCAGTCAAAGCGTTAGGATTGCATTTAAAGACGTTGGCTATGACACTAAAATTACGAAAGAGAACGTACAGTCTGAAGAATATATTACTAACTGTATTGAAAGTAACCTTGCTTTTCTTCGTTATATTCCGAATTCCGCTTGGTACTGGTCCGATCGAAAAAAAGATCTTTTCGCCATGATTCGACAATTAGGAGCACCGACTGCTTTTATGACTGTCAGTGCTAATGAAACGGGTTGGACAGATTTGCTTAAATTATTGTATAAATTAAAGAATAATGGAGCAGATATATCCAACGAACTTTTAGCTGAAATGAGTTATATCGATAAAGCAACTCTAGTTAATGAAGATGCTGTTACTTGTGCCATATACTTCAACAAATTAGTAGATTGTTTATTGAAGATTTTACAATCTAAAAAAAGAAGTCCATTTGGTAAACATAGGGTAAATAATTACTTTAAAAGAATCGAATTTCAACATCGTGGAAGTCCTCACGCTCACATTCTGTTATGGTTGGATAATATACCGGGAGATTTATTAGATAACAACAAAGATTTAATTCAAATAATTGATGAATTAATTTCCATATCAGAGTTAGAAGCGTCTGGAAATATAAAACTCCAAACTCACAAACACACTTTAATGTGTTATAAAAAAATGGAACCTAATAAAAAAGAAAACTGCCGATTTGGTGCACCATTTATGCCATCGCGAAATACAATAACATTGTTACCTATGAAAGATACTGATCCAAATTTTTCTGAAGAAAAATTTAACGAATCTAAAAATCACTATAAACTGATTCGTTGAAATTTTGAAAGTTTTGAATACACAGATTTTGATCACTTTTATAAAGACAATAATATTGAATCCGACGAACATTTACGAACATTATTACAACATTTTTTGTGCAGGTATCAATCGACCAAGGTTATTCTATCGTCGAACACCATCAGAAAAGTGGCATAATTCTTTTAATCCATTTGTACTTCACCATCTAAAGTCTAATATGGATTTCCAAATGATCCAAGATGAATATTCATGTGCTGCTTACGTTGTTGACTATGTTAACAAACACAACAGAGGTTATCAGCAATCTACAACGACAAATACTTCAGGTTATGGAGGAAAATCCAGAATTTGATCTTGTAGATATCACAAAGAAATTGAGTGTTGACGTTCTTCATGCTGTTGAAATATCAGCACAAGAAGCTGCTTGGTATTTGTTACGACAGCCTATGGCAAAATCATCGGTAGTGACTGTTTATACACCGATAATATATCCTACTGAACGTCAAAGAATAAGGAAAACTATGAAAGAATAAGGGTCCGTTCACACAGACCGGCTCGGAGAGGAGAGCAGATTTTTATCACGTTGGAAACAGTGTTTTGAGTGATTGTAGTAAAGTTTATTTTTGCATTTGCACCTTTTTTGTCATTAAAAATGCCTGAACGCGCTTCGTGTGAAGTAATAAAAGGAGCCGACCGGCTCCGCTTGCGTGCTCTTTCTCGCTCGCGCAGCCGATGGGCTCCGATTGCGTGCTCTTTCTCTATCGCGTAGCCGATCGGCTCCGATTGCGTGCCCCGCTGCGGCCGCGCCGACCGCCATTTTGATAGCAACATTTGAACGTAATAGTTGTGCGTACTTGTACGAAAAGATGAATGATGAAAAATTAATAATACTCGTGTCAAAATATGAGTGTTTATTTGACATAACCAAGCCATCATATAGCGATCGGATAATGAAAGACAATGCATGGGAGGAAATTAGCAAATGTCTCGGAATAAGTGGTAAGTAAGGTTTTCATTGTTTTACACCTACCCCCAGATACTCAAACGAATTTTAAAGCAAGGGCTTCTTAAACTCGTGCTGCGACGTGTTAGATTCAAAGTCAAAATAGGAATAACATGAGTTTAAATGCGCCCTTACTTTAAAAACTCGTTTGAGTATCTGATCGTTAGAATATACTTATGTAGTAGACAATTTTTATTAAATATAACTTAAGAAACTCGCGTAGCCACTTGATCTTGCCAATCTAAAGCACCACTTGATGAAAAATAATCCTTAAATTTATTCCTTGTGGTTAGAACTGCGTCGCTATTAGAACTGTTTTCATTATTATTGTCTGTTATTGCTGTTAATAAATTTATATTGCTGTGAAATTCATTCTCTTGTCCTGGCGTCCGATTTTCTATTAAAAAATTATGTAAACATGTAGTTGCTAATATAATTAAATCACAGTACTTCGGCTGAATTTTCATTCGTTTTTGATAAATTTCAAATCTTTGAGTTAGCATTCCAAATGCACATTCTACGACTTTTCTTGCCCTGCTTAAACGCAGATTAAATACTTTTTTTGATAATTCTGTTCTTGCTTGTTCTCTTGGATACGGCCGCAATATATTATTGCTCAAAGGAAATGCCTCGTCTCCTATAAAAACATGTGGTAAGCTTTCAGTGGTACTAGGTAGAGGTTTATTTGGGGGCAGCTTTAACTTATTGGTGTTGAGTTTTTTCCAAAATTTTGAATCTGTCTGTAAAATTCCGCCGTCGCTATTTTTACCATATGATCCGACATCAACAATTAAAAAACTGTATTTCGCGTCGACCACAGCTAGTAACACTGTACTGAAAAAGTTTTTATAATTATAGTATAAGCTTCCACTATTATCTGGTGCCTGTATATTGACATGCTTTCCGTCTATAGCGCCCAAACAGTTAGGAAAATTCCAAATATTAAAGAAATCACGTGAAACCTTTTCCCACATTTCTTCATCTGGCATCTGCATAACTATGGGCATCAAAACATCACAAATTACTCTGATTGTCTCATGAATAATTGAATGAACTGTAGAAATTCCCATTCGAAAATTAAATGACAAGTTTTTGAAACTGCAACCAGTGATGAGGAATCTGTAAAAATAAAACAAACACACAAAATAGAAATATAAGACTGCCGTACCAAAACGAACTATAAAATAAAAAAGAGTTATGTTATTAATTTTTCATTTCTGTTCTTTCCAGTGACGCAGTGCCAGGATCGTTGGAAGAAACTGCGAGATAACTTCAGAAAAGCCTATTATAACCGAAAAGGCAAGAGTGGCGATGGTGCAACTACGTCCAAATTGATAAAATTTGAAAAAGAACTTTCTTTTATAATACCATTTTTTCGCAATCGAAACCAAATATCTAATGTAACATTATCATCGGATGATTCAGAGCCTGGCACACCAATACCACCACCATCGACATCATCTAAACGTTCTGACCATTCTGAAGTTGAATCGCTTGCAAGTACTTCTGGCTCGAAAAAGAGACCACGCTTAAGCAAAGATGTTGCTACGGTTTTCGAAGAGTATCTTGAAGAAAAAAGAAATACTACACCCCGTGACAAGGCATTACGTAATTTTTTTTTGTCTATGTCAGATACAGTGGAAACATTCCCAAAAGAAGTCCAAGCACGAATTAAAAGGCGCGTGTTTAACATTGTTAATGAAGCTGAATTAAGTCTGTATGAAAATAGTACAGATTTGAATTATTCTTTGTCTATAAATTCACCGCCATCGACTAATCAATCTACTTACCTAGTGTCAAACGAAACCTATATTCCTCAAAACTATCCAGATCAGACTACTTACGGGTACAATACCAGCACACAAAATACAAAATAATAAACAATCAAAAACAATAATAATTATAATAATAATAATTAAACACACACAAATCTGTACTATTTAATTACATTTCATTAACGTAAATAATGCTTAATAAATGGAGGGCTGTGATTTTGTGATCTATTTAGATGTTTGTGTTATTTAACATGATTAGTATAAGTAATTTACATTTCATTAACGTAAACAATGCTTAATAAATGGAGGGCTGTGATTTTGTGATCTAAATAACATGATTAGTATAAATAATTGTTTTTTATTTACCTTAAAGTTACCGTTAACCTTTCTTCGGCTGTAATGGTGCAACGATAATTTGTAGTCTTTTTTGTTATATGTACTCTTAACAAATCTGTCAATTTCAAAAATTGCCAATATTCCATACGATAATACTCATAAAATTTTAGGCTATCTCTCTTCAATTCCTCGAAAATGGTGTGAAACTCCCCATGGATTAGTCTGTTTTTCCAAATATGTTTTACCCATATTTGTTTCCGCTTGCGCTTACGTTTCCTATGTTCTATTTCAAGTATCTTGCTAACAAATATATTTCTTCGTCGGAGCTATCTAAATCCATGTTTCGAAAAAGCACACGTTAACACACCGAAAACAAAACTTAGACTGCGCGGAATACTGGCACTGCCTTTGTAGTGTATCCACCCGACTCCGAGCGCATCCGACCGGCTCCGAGCACATCCAACCGCACCCGCTTTCAGATCTCTTCCAGCCGGTCGATGTGAAATAGTTGGCGGCTCCGCTCCGGCCAATTCCAAGCGTATACGACCCGGTCTGTGTGAAAAGAAAAAAGCAGGCCGATGCTCTCCGAGCCGGTCTGTGTGAACGGACCCTTAGAGGTATTGGAGGATGATTGCACAAATATATGGAAAGAAAAATGGTTCGATAAGTATGAAAAAAGATTAGCACAGTTCGTAGCTAATTATTACATCAATAATAAAGGAGAATATGTAAAAAGGAAAATTCCAAAAGTGATCCGTTACCGTAATTATGATATGGCTGATAACTTCAACGACTACAGAAGAGAAATGGTATTGCTGCATATTCCTTTTAAAAGTGAAAACAACGACGTTCTTGCTGATAATAAATATTTCCAACTATATGAAGATAACAAAGATTTAATCTTAAAACGCAGAAAAGAGTTTGAGTCCAACTTAGATATCGAAAAAACCCTTGAAATTTGCAGACAGTTGTGCAGAGAAAAAGAAGACGAAGAGGATGACGGAGAATAGTCTTCGAAAACGATCCTTATGCATTGGTAGCGCAATATCCGGATTCTACAGTCAATGCTGATTTGCAAAATGCAGCACTTAGTAAACTTGATGCTGTTGCAAAAAAAAGAGAAAACTTGATGGACACTCAACAATTCTGCGAATTAATGAGATCGGCCAATACAAAACAAAAAGATCTATTAATGAACATTATTCATCATTTACTAACTCCAAATCAAGTGCCGTTTCTAGTTTTCTTCACCGGTCCAGCTGGTAGTGGTAAGACTTTTGTCATTAAACTTATAAT